GCGCCTGGAGACCCACAAGGGGTCGGCGGATTGTATAGAACAGTGGTAACCCTTTCCCGAATGGGAGGAAGGGTTGGGAGAACTGCTCTGTGCCACTTCGTTCTGGAGGGCTGGTGGAACTCCGTTCCTCCCTCCCTTCTCTTCTTCTTGTTCCTCGTTTTCATCCTCGTCCTGCGTCTCCCTCTACATCATCTTGCCCTCCACTTCTAGTTCCCCTCCACTTTCTCGTCTTCACCTCTGCCTCGGCCTCCGCCACCGGTGCGGCCTCCATTTCCGCTTTTGTCTGCGCCTCCACCTCCGCTTCAACCTCGGTGGTCGCGTTCACCTTCACCTTCGCCTGCGCTTGCACAGGCACCCGAATCTTCCAAGCCCGCGATCGCCCCCGCCCCCCACCCTCACTCCCACTTCACCTCTGCCCCCGCCTTGACCTCCACCTGGGCCTCCACCCGGCCGTTCATCTGGCCCTCCACCTTGACTTCCATTTGCACCTGCATTTGCGCCTGCACCTACGCCCCCACCTCGTGCACCTGCACCTGCACCTGCACCTGCACCTGCACGTGCACGTGCATCTGCACCTGCTCTTGTGCCTCCACCTCCATCCCCACTCCTTCTCTTCCTCCCGCCCCGTCATCCATCCTCATCCTTGCTCCTTCGTATTTTTTTTTTGCCCTCTTGTCTGCCTGAATTGGCCCCGTCTCTGAGAGGGGACTTGTGAAGGTGATCACCACTTTCCATTCCGCATAATCGAGACTCCTTCGGGTCGTTTGGGCTTTTTCGTTTTCATGCGCTTGACGCTTCAACCAGTCATCACTGGCGGTAGGTCCCCGACAAGCCAGCAGCCCCGACACCAGACTTCATGGACGATCACGATTCCGTCAATCACAGCACGACCAGCGCTATCGATACCATCTTTAAACGGGACTGTTCGACTTGGATCGACCCGTGAGGGTCACGGGGCTTGGAACAGGGCAAATTTGAAGGTCGTTGTTTTTCGCGTGGTGGTTGTGTGTGGGAGAGTTTTGAGTAATCCTGAAAGCCTGGCCGCCGATTCTGACATGGCCCCCCGCGCACCCTCCTCCCCCCATCTCCGCCTCCCTCTGAGGAGGAGGAGGAGGAGGAGGAGGAGGAGGAGGAGGAGGGATGGAGGAAGAGGAGGCGGAGGCAGAGGAGGAGGAGGAGGATCAGGAGGAGGAGGAGGAGGAGAAGGAGAAGGAGAAGGAAAAGGAGGAGGATAATGAAGAACATGATGTTGCTGGTGCTATCGTCGTGATTGTTGTTGTTGTTGTTGTTGTTGTTGTTGTTGTTGTTGTTGTTGTCGTCGTCGTCGTCGTCGTCGTCGTCGTCGTCGTCGTCGTCGTCGTTGTTGTTGTTGTTGTTGTTGTTGTTGTTGTTGTTGTTGTTGTTGTTGTTGTTGTTGTTGTTGTTGTTGCTGTTGTTGTTGTTGTTCATGTTGTTGTTGTTGTCGTCGTCGTCGTCGTCGTCGTTGTTATTGTTGTTGTTGTTTTTGTTGTTGTGGTTGTTGTTGTTGTTGTTGTTGTTGGTGTTGTTGTTGTTGTTGTTGTTGAATGAGGACGATTAGACCGGCCCGGGGGGACCCCAGCAACCCCAGCAACCCCAGCAACCCCAGCAACCCTTCCGCGGCCGCGGAAGGGGTCCTGGTAGGATCCCATAGGATTCCTGAGGGATCCCTATCGGATTCCTCAGGGATCCCATAGGATTCCTTAGGGATTCCATAGGTTTCCTATACGATTCCTATAGGATTCCTTAGGGATCCCATAGGATTCCTATACGATTCCTATAGGATTCCTAAGGGATCCCATAGGCTTCCTCAGGGATCCCATAGGATTCCTCAGGGTACCTAAGGGATACCCATAGGATCCCCATAGGATTCCTAAGGGATCTCATAGGATTCCCATACGATTCCTTTAGGATCCGCATAGGATTCCTATAGGATTCCAGTAGGATTCCTAAGGAATCCTATAGTATTCCTAAGGGATCCCATAGGATTCCTCAGGGACCCCATCGGATTCCCAAGGGACCCTACAGGATTCCTCAGGGATCCCATAGGATTCCTAAGGGCTCCCATAGGATTCCTAAGGGACCCCATAGGATTCCTAAGGGATCCTGTTGGATTCCTTAGGGATTCCATAGGATTCCTAAGGGATCCCATGGGATCCTATAGGATTCCTCAGGGATCCCATAGGATTCCTAAGGGGCCCCATAGGATTCCCAAGGGATCCCCATAGGATTCCTAAGGGTGCCCATAGGATTCCCATACGATTCCTATAGGATCCGCATAGGATTCCTAAGGGATCCTATAGGATTCCTAAGGGATCCTATAGGATTCCTCAGGGATCCCATCGGATTCCTAAGGGATCTCATAGGAATCCTAAGGGATCCCATAGGATGCCTATAGGATTCCAATAGGATTCCCATAGGATCCCAGTAGGATTCCTCAGGGACCCCATAGGATCCCCAAGGGATCCCATAGGATTCCTAAGGGATCCCATAGGATTCCCGTACGATTCCTATAGGATCCCCATAGGGTTCCTAAGGGATCCTATAGGATTCCTAAGGGATCCTATAGGATTCTTGAGGGATCCCATCGGATCCCTAAGGGATCCCATAGGATTCCTAAGGGATCCCATCGGATTACTATAGGATTCCAACAGGATTCCTATAGGATCCCCAGTGGGATTCCTAAGGGAACCCATAGGATTCCTCAGGGACCCCATAGGATTCCCAAGGGACCCTACAGTTTTGACTTCGCCATCCCTGGGGGGGCTGCGGTCTGCGAAACTGTCGCCACTTTCGAGGGCTGCTGGGGGGGGGGGGGGGGCATCGGAGTGACCTGCGCGGGGACTTAGTATAAACAGGTTGGATCCTTCGGAACGCTGAAATAGGAATTCGATAGGAAATGGTCGAGTCCCAGCCGCCGGAGGAATTCCTTAAACATTTATTTGTTTTTGAATCGGAATTCAATAGGACATGGTCGAGTCGGGGACGGGGGGGTCCTTAACTGCGTCCCCCCGTCGGGGCCCGAAAATGAACCTCTTGGGGCCCTCGTGGGCCGCTCTTGGAGCGGTCTTGGGTGTTCTTGGGGCGGTATTGGGGCCCCCCTGGGCCCCTTTTGGGGCCCTCTTGGGCCATCCAGAAGCCATCTTGAGGCCTCAAGAGGCCATCGGGCGCGAAAGGGTGACAATGCAAAAAACATTGGAAAAACATACAGGATTTGAATGATTTTGGCCTCTTGAGGGCTTCCTTGGAGGGCTCGAAAGGCACTTGGAGCCGTCCTGGGGCGGTCTCCAGAGCTCTTGGATGCATGTTGATAGCTATCTTGAACCATCTTGGGATATCTTGCGCGATCTTGGAGACCATCTTGGGCTCTCTGGGACCCGCTTGGAGCCATCTTGGGCCATCTTGGACGCTCCAACCTCTCGCGGCACCCTCCCTCCAGGTCCAGGGGGAGGGGGTAGGGGGAGGGGGAACCCCCTCCCCCAAGGGGAAAAAGGGGGTTTAGCAGAACGAGCTCCTTAGACCACTCACGCCCTAAAGTGCTGGTGGGATTCGCCGGTTTGGGCCCACGCTGGCTAACATCGTAGCCACTCTGCCCCAGGCCTCTTGGGCGAACCCCACCGCGAACACCTTGGGCAAAGCTGTTGTTGTTGTTGCTCCTGGGTCTCCTCCTCCTTGCGTTCCAGCGTGGGCGTGCATGGTTGAATGCGCCCAGGGTATTTTTTCTTCGGGCCCCAGGACTCACGGAAATCGACCCGCGGTCCGAAATCATGATTCCAGGACGGCCTCCAGGTGCGCAGATCGCTCAAGAGTGAACGACCCACGCGATGTCAGCAGCCAGTTCCCATGTCGTCGCGACTGCGGTCCTCTGCGTCGTCGTCGTCGCCATCGCCCTCATGTCATCGGCTGGCTCGAGTGGCGCCCTGCGCCCTGGCTTTCAGCAAGCTGATTTCCTAAGCTCCTCCCATATTTCCATATCTCTAAGCCCCGACGGCATAGCCTAACGGCGCCGATGGTGGCCCTCGCCTACGGTCGTCTGGCCATGATGGCGATCACCAGGGTGGTTTTCGAGGGCGGATTGACCGGCTCCGCCTGGGGCGACTGGTCGCTCTACCCGGGCTCCCCGGATTTGGCGGTCCAGGATCCGTAGAGGGAAGCTACACGCACCACCACCATGCCTCAGCAGGGCCATCCTGGGATGCAGGATGCTGTATCGACCCTCCTGCCCAAGGCAGGAGGGCGCATACACCATGCCGGGGTCCAGGATGGCCCTGGCCTGGCGTGGGGGCGGTGTATGCTTACCTGCCTTCTCGCGTGCAGGATCCAGTTGGCTTCGCCGTGAGCAGCACGCCAGACCTCAGCAGCAGCACCGTGACCATCACGATCATCACCGGCTCCGACTTGGGCGTCTTGGAGCTCCACAGCAACAACGCCACAGACACCACCGCGATATTCTTCGGCAGGCAGCGATCGCGTTTGTTCTGGCGCACGCGGCGGCGGCGGTGGCGACGGCAACGGCTTCGCCGAGGCCGTGCCCTACTACAGGCGGCAGCGGCGGCGGCGAACGCCAAGGCCGAGGCGTCCGGCGGCGCGGGGCGCGGCCAGGGCGCACGGCGGATCGCGGCGGCTGCTGCGGCGGCAGGCGCCGCCGCCGCAGCGGCGGCTGGCGCGGAGGGCTCGGAGGGCCAGGCGGAGGGCGATGAGTTTTCGGCCGCGGACCTCGAAAAGTGGATGGTCATCAAGAAGCGCGCAGGCTATCCATCTGGCTACAGCCAGCCCCGCCCTCGTGCCAGCGCAGCATCGCGGGGTGTGGCGGTCCGCGCGGGTCCTCCCGGGGCCCCCCAGGGAAGAACAGCCGACGCCCCTGCCAGACAGCGCATGGCACTTCAAAGCGCTTGGGCCCAGCATGGGTGGCGGATTGCGGACTATGCGTCGGAGTTTTCCGAGACTGGACAGGCCACAAAAGCCGCAGGCCACCTTGCAAGGCGCACGCCGACAGCCGCGACGTGCTGACGCCGGAGGAGATGGTGCAGCTGCGTCAAGAGTTTGTGGAGGAGCTCGCGAACCCTGCTTTGGCCAAGGAGAGAAAAGTTGCAAAGGCAAAGGCTAGGCACCGCGCGGGGTGGAAACCTCCGGAGGCGCCGCAATCTCAGGAGGAGTACCGCTTTGATTTCGGGAAACATTCTGGTTCCACCTTGAGGAGTGTGCTTCAGGAGGACCCTGGCTACCTTGATCGGTTGATGAGTTGGAGGAACAACATCCTGGACCAGAAGCTGACATTGAGGTGTGCTCTTGAGAAGGAGGGCCTCCTCGAGGGGCTCCTGGCGAAGAGGCCCCAGCTGATGGTCGAGAGAGCGCGGGGGGTGATCGCGAAGGCGGCGGAGGACAAGGACAAGCCCCTGCATCCGGAAATCGCCAAGTTGCGGGTCGCGCAGCACATCGAGGCCACCGAAATCTTGGCCATGCATTCCAGCGAGACTGCCGTGGCGGCGCTTGCAGCGCCCCCGCGGGACCAGCAGCAGAAGAGAAAACGAGTGTCGGCAGCCAGGTACCTTCTCCCGCACTGTTCCAGATGTGGGAGCGTGGAGCACAAGCGGCCGCAGTGCCCGAACAAATCGCTGCAGGGCGAGGTCGTGGAGGACTGCCGCAGCCAGGCCGTCGTGGATTACATGCGGAACCGCCGATCTGCTGCACTTGTCGCCAGGCTGAAGCACGCGCAAATATCTATCAGAACGCGGGGGTACGAAGAGAGGGCGAAGAAGATGGCGAGGGCCCCGATTGACACGGACTTTGTGCAAATGGCACGGTGGTCCCCAGAAGAGTTCGTCCACTACCTCGTGTCCGCTGGCATTTTGCACGACTTGAAAGGGACGCCGTGCCCGCGAGGGAAGTGCCAATCCTCCAAGAAGTCGAGCTTCCTCGAGGGCGCCGAGAAGGAGCTGGGCCAATTGCGATGCAATGCTGAAAAGGGGCAGGATATTATCATTGAGACTGCGTGGCACGCGTGTTGTGGCGTGTGCCGCGTGCACCAATCCGTGGCTCTGCACAATCCGTTGTTCTCTGGCCTGCTTGGGAAGGGCAGCAAGGGCGTGTCGATGTGCGTGATGGCGTGGTGGCTAGCCGCTGAAGGGGTCCCTGAGTCGGTGGCAGTGCGGCAGCTCAATATCCATGAGGGCGTCGTGCAAGGTTACTACGCCCGGGCTCGCGCGATCATGTCTGCGGCAGCGATTCGCATGCAAAGGGGTATCAGGGAGGCTGTCGCCGGCCCGGGGAGGAGGGGGGCGTCGGGCAGGGGTGACGGCGGGGGGGAGGAGGGGAGGACGGGGGGGACACAGCGGGGGAGGAGGAGGAGGAGGAGGAGGCGGAGGAGGAGGAGGGAGGCGGAGGGAGGAGGAGGGCGGCGGAGGAGGTTCAGGAACAGCAGCAGCAGGAGGAGCAGCAGCAGCAGTCCTATCCTATCCTACCCCCTCCCTCCCCTTTCCCCCCCCTCCCCCTCCTTCTCCTCGTTCTCCTCCTCCTCCTCCTCCTCCTCCTCCTCCTCCTACTACTACTACTACTACTACTACTACTACTACTACGACTTACTACTACTACTACTACTACTACTACTACTACTACTACTACTACTACTACTAATACAACGACTACTACTACTACTACTACTACTACTACTACTACTACTACTACTACTACTACTACTACTACTACTACTACTACTACTACTACTACTACTTACTACTACCTACTACTACTACTACTACTACTACGACTACTACTACTACTACTACTACTACTACAACACATTTCTACGAGTGCACTTGACTACTACTTACTACTATCTACTACTGACTGCTCTCATACTATACGACCACTACAGACTATACTACTACTTACTATACTACTACTACTACTAGTACTTACTACTTCTCTACTACACTATACTACTACTACAACGAGTAGTACTACTTACTACCACTACTCTAATACACTACTACTAATATTACTACTACTACTACTACTACTACTACTACTACATCTACCACTACTACTACTACTACTACTACTACAACAACGACTACTACTACTACCACTACTACTACTACTACTACTACTACTCGTACTACTAGTCGTACTACTACTACTACTACTACTACTACTACTAATACTAACAATACTACTACTACGACTAATACTACTACTACTACTACTACCACTACTACTACAACTACTACTACTACTACAACGACTACTACTACTACTACTACTACTACTTCTAGTACTCTACTACTATACTACTTACGACGACTACTATCTACTACTTACTACTTACTACTACTACTAACTTTATATTATTTTTTTTTTTAACTTTTTACTTTTTTACTACTTCTTTCTACGAGTAACTACTAGATCCGACTCCGGGGTCGAACCCCCGCGGGGGCGAGGGTGAGAGGGGCGAACGCCTGCCGCCCCGCGCGGCGCGGTGATTCAGGCGGGTTCAAAGTCGGGGGCGCGGTCGAGGTGGAGGTCGATGCCACGGTCATTTGCAAGTGGAAAGCCGAGGAGAACGCCGAGCTGACGCATTCATATTACTGTTTCATTGGCATTCGCCAGCGAGGTAGCACGTCCCACTTCGCCATGATGCCGCTGGGCGTGAGCAAATCTCAGAGGAGGGGCATTGGAGACACCGGCGGAGTCCCCTCCGGAGGGGGGGCCGGGCTCTCGTCGCCACGGCCGGGCGCAGTTCGGAAAACGTCCGTTCGTTGGCCCCGGGGAGGGTCCGGGAGGCGATTGTGCTCTGAGTCTGAGGTGCCAGTGCGTCAACTCCCCCTCCTCCGATAATCCACCGGCGAGGGCCGCGTGGCCCCCGAATCGTCCGAGGCGTATCACGCTTTCTGCAAGGAGATCCTTGGCGACCGCAAGTACAATCTGCTGCTCGTGACAGACGGCGCGGGCTGCTACAAGTGCCGCTGCTCGGATTGCGTCGTGCGGTTCGAGGAGCACCACAGCGCGAACCACTCCAGGAAGCCGAAGGCCGAGTTTTCCCGGCCCATCCCCGCGGTCGTCGCCGACGTCGACACGGGCCACACGAGGGGATCTATGGCTGGCACGATGACGATCGACAAAGAATGGGATCTTCTCAAGGAGCCTTTGCCACGGAACCTGACTGCCCGCACTGTGGAGGACGTCGATAGGACGGACGGCTTCGTGAGGTCTCAGCAATGGCGGCGCTTGGTCGGCAACGACGATCGATGGTCGGCTTTTCTCGACGCAGCCAGGGAGTGGGCGAAATGCGCCGATTCCAGTGCGAAGCTCAAGCTGGGTCTGGCAACGGGGAAAGCGGGCAAGTTGGCTCTGGCAGCGGGGAAGCGCTTGGCCGCCGAAGCCAACCCAGCAGATCATCGGGAGGAGCGCGTGCCAAACCACCCCGAAGAACAGGGACAAGAGCAGCGGGAGGAGCGCGCCCAAGAGCATTCCCAAGAGGCACCCGCACGCCATCGCGACGGGCATGCCGACGGCCGCGGCCCCGAGCATCGTGACGGGCTGGGTGGCCCCGCGCGCGGGCCCACCGCGCCGCCGGCGGCGGAGCCGTGGGTGCCCCCATGGCCGCTCCCGCCGCCGCCAGCCTGGCACGCGGGCGCCCTGGGGGGCGATCGGTATCTTGAGCGCCAGGGCAGCGCTCCCGTGTGCGGCCGGCATGCCTTGAACAATTTGTTGGGGGCGCCGCAGTTCTCGGACGGCGACTTGGAGGTGGCGCGCGGCATTGTGGTGGCTCAGACAGATGATCCCCCCGACCTTCACGTGAGCGATGGAGGATGGTACTCCCACTCCGTGCTGGCGACTGTTCTGGATTCCGTCGTCCCTCCGTCGTGGCGAATGTTGTTGCGGCCTCTCTTGCCGTCTTCGTGGCAGGCATGCACGAGCAGCGACGACATGTTGGGGGCGCTGGTGAACCGCAACAACGTCCATTGGTCGGCTATCCAGGTGCCTTCGGCGAATCCCGCCGCCGTGCCGGCGCAATGCTGGGTATGATGGGCCTACTCGTCCGCATGTGTGGGCGTACGAGGACGAGTGGGAGGAGGAGGAGGAGGAGGAGGAGGAGGAGGGGGAGGAGGAGAAGGAGGAGGAGGAGGACGAGGACGAGGTGAGGATGAGAGGGAGGAAAGGAGGAGGAGGAGGAGGAGGAGGAAGGGGGGAGGAGGAGGTGGAGGAGGAGGACGGAGGAGGAGGAGGAGGGGAGGTGGAGGAGTGAGGTGAGGGGGAGGTTCGAGTTGGGGGTTTTCCGCCTCAACATTTCTGGTGGCCTGGTGGCGGATTCTCAAGCACAACGACCGCGTGTGGCACGTAGACAGCCTCCGTGAACCCGCCATTCTAGACGAGGCAGCCTTCGGCAGGGCGCTCCGGAGGCATCCGATGGCGTTTCCCATCGTGACCAATTCATACCAGGAGTGAACGCACCTTTTGCGATCATACTTTCGGTGTCGTTGCGTGCACGACGAGCGCGCGGCGGTTTTCGAGCCATTCTCTCTGGTGCCCCTTTTCGGCTACATTGGCCTGGTGACTCGCCGTTGGAGCGAACAGTGCGTGTCGGAGACTTGGAATGTAGCGCTCTGTGTCTGCTGTTGCGTCGGATATTCGCCCGCGCTACAGTTATTGCCCGTGGTTGCTCGCGCGGGTTTTCCGCCGGCGTCGTCGCTTCCGCCGCCGTCGTCGTCGCCGCCGCCGCGCCCCCGCCGCCGCCGCCCCCCGCCGTCGGGCGCGGCAGACCCCCGAGGAGGCGCGGCTCCTTTCCGCGCGCCGCGCGCGTCTTGCGGGAGAGAGAGCGGCGACGAGGCCCGCGAGCGACGCCGCCCTCCCAGCAGGCGCAGGCGACGCCACCCCCAGCCCCTGCGAAGGAAACCAAGGGGCAGCAGTTACAGGGAGCGGGGTACGGTGAGACCCCCGCCTGCTGCCCCAACACCCGAAGACCCGTGGCGGCCCCGGAGGCCCCCCGTGGCCCCCGGAGGCCCCGGGAGGCCCCAGGAAACCTCGGGAGGACCCTCCAGGCCCCCGCAGGCCCACGTTGGTTCGAAGATGCGCCCGCGGCGGCGGAGGACGGGAGAGGGGGACAGGAGGAGGACAGAGGAGGAGAGAGGAGGAGAGAGGAGGAGAGGAGGAGAGGAGGAAAGAGGAGGAGAGGAGGTGGAGAAGGAGGAGGCGAGGAGAGGAGGAGAGAGGAGAGAGAGGAGGAGGAGAGGAGGAGAGGAGGGAGGAGGAGGGAGGAGGAGGAGGAGAGGTAGGGGTTTGGCCATTTTGCTGTGAGCTAGAGATAAAACGCGACGTTTTGCGCGAAAGGGCTTCGGGTGTAGGTGCCCGTCGTGCTGGTTGGCGGAGTCTGTTGCGGGGTACCCCGCCAAATTGTTGCTTTGTGGGGGTAGCAGGTTGACCTGCGCGCTTTGGTAGCGGAGTGGTAGTCGTAGGGGGGGATTCATTGTGGGGTGTTGGGGATTGGGCTGGGTTTGTGGGGTTGTTCTTTATGTTTGTTGTGTGGTGGTGTTTATTTGTTGTTGTGTTTGTTGTGGTTGGGTTTTGAGATTGGGGAGAGTTATTTTTTTTTTGGTTTTGCTTCTGTTTTGTGCTCTCTCTTGTGTTTTTTTTTTTGTTGCTTTCTTTCTTTTATCTATGATGTTTTTTTTGGGGTTGTGGTGCCCGTCGCGTTGGTAGCGGGGCTCTGGTGCCCGCGCCGCGCACGCTGGTGCAACATCGCAAGCAATGCGCGGACATGCGCACGCTTCGCAATCGCGTGCGTCCACACACGTAGTAGTAGTAGTCGGAGTAGAAGTAGTAGTAGTAGTAGTAGTGGTAGTAGTAGTAGTAGTAGTAGTAGTAGTAGTAGTAGTAGTAGTAGTAGTAGTAGTAGTAGTAGTAGTAGTGGTAGTGGTAGTAGTAGTAGTAGTGGTAGTAGTAATAGTAGTAGTAGTTTAGTAGTAGTAGTAGTAGTAGTAGGTAGACGTTAGTTAGTAGTAGTCGTTAGTCGTTAGTTTTAGTTATGTTTTTGGATTATGTTAGTAGTAGTAGTAAGTTAGTAGTAGTAGTGGTAGTGGTAGTAGTAGTAGTAGTAGTTGTAGTAGTAGAGTTGTAGTAGTTAGTTAGTAGTAGTGTTAGGAATTAGTAGTTGATGGTAGTAGTAGGTGAGTGTTGTAGCGTAGTGTAGTAGTAGTAGTTAGTAGTAGTAGTAGTAGTAGTAGTAGTAGTAGTAGTAGTAGTTAGTAGTAGTAGTAGTAGTAGTACTAGTTAGTAGTAGTAGTAGTAGTTAGTAGTAGTAGTAGTAGTTAGTAGTAGTAGTAGTAGTAGTAGTAGTAGTAGTAGTAGTAGTAGTAGTAGTAGTAGTAGTAGTAGTAGTAGTAGTAGTTTGTAGTAGTAGTAGTAGTAGTAGTAGTAGTAGTAGTAGTAGTAGTAGTAGTAGTAGTAGTAGTAGTAGTAGTAGTCGTAGTAGTAGTAGTAGTAGTAGTAGTAGTAGTAGTAGTAGTAGTAGTAGTAACCGTAGTAGTAGTAGCCCTAATGGAGCTCCTAATCGAGCTCCTAACAGAGCTCGTAGTAGAGCTCCTAGTAGAGCTCGTGGTAGAGCCCCTAGTAGAGCTCGCAGTAGAGATTTTGGCAGACCTCGCTCACACTAGAGCTCCTAATAGAGCACGTAGTAGAGCTCATAGTAGACCTCCTAATCGAGCTACCAGTAGAGCTCCTGGTAGAGCTCGCAGATTAACTCCTCATGGAGCTCGTAGTAGAGCTCGTCGTAGAGCTCCTAAGCGAGCTCCTGGTAGAGCTCCTAACAGGGCTCTTAACAGAGCTCCAAACGGAGCTCCTAATAGAGCTCGTAGTAGAGCTCGTGGTAGAGCTCGTAGTAGAGCTCGTGGTAGAGCTCGTGGTAGAACTCGAAGTAGAGCTCCTCGTAGGGCTCGTAGTAGATCTCGTAGTAGAGCTCGTAGTAGGGCTCGTAGTAGAGCTCGTAGTAGAGCTCGTATTAGAGCTCGTGGTAGAGCTCGTATTAGAGCTCGTAGTAGAGCTCCTAATAGAGCTCGTAGTAGAGCTCGTAGTAGAGCTCCTAACAGAGCTCCTAATAGAGCTCCTAGCAGAGCTCCTCATAGAGCTCATAGAGCTCCTCTATGGGATTCCTAAGGGATCCTATAGGATTCCGAAGGGATCCCACAGGGTTCCTAAGGAATCCTATAGGATTCCTAAGGGATCCTATAGGATTTCTAAGGGATCCCATCGGATTCCTAAGGGATCCCATAGGATTCCTAAGGGATCCCATAGGATTCCTAAGGGATCCTATAAGATTCCTATAGGATTCCTAAGGGATCCCATAGGATTCCTATAGGATTCCTAAGGGATCCAATAGGATTCCTAAGGGATTCCTCAGGGATCCCATAGGATCCTCTAGGGTTCTTAATGAATCCTATAGTATTCCTAAGGGATCCCATAGGATTCCTAAGGGATCCCATCGGATTCTTAAGGCATCCCACAGGATTCCTAAGGGATCCCATAGGATTCCTAAGGGATCCTATAGGATTCCTAAGGGATCCCATAGGATTCCTAAGGGATCCCATAGGATTCCTATGGGATCCTATAGGATTCCTAAGGGATCCCATAGGATTCCTAAGGGATCCTATAGGATTCCTAAGGGATGCCATAGGATTCCTAAGGGATCCTATAGGATTCCAAAGGGATCCCATAGGATTCCTAAGGGATCCCATAGGATTTCTAAGGGATCCTATAGAATTCCTAAGGGATCCCATAGGATTCCTAAGGGATCCTATAGGATTCCTATAGGATTCCTAAGGAATCCTATAGTATTCCTAAGGGATCTTATAGGATCCTATAGGGTCCTATAGGATCCTATAGGGTCCTTCAGGATTTCTAGAGGATCCTATAGGATTTCATAGATTTCCTATAGGATCCTATAGGATTTCTATAGGATCCTATAGGATTTCCTATGGGATTTCATAGGATTTCTAGAGGATCCTATAGATCCTATAGGATCTTACTATGGATAATTCATAGGATTTTAGAGGATTCCTAATGATTGATCCTTAGGATCTTATAGGATCCTAGCAGATGCTCCTCATTGAGCTCATTGAGCTCCTCTATGGGATTCCTAAGGGAAGCCCTCCTATAGGATTCCGAAGGGATCCACAGGGTTCCCTAGGAATACTTTTGGTTTCTAAGGGATCCTATAGGATTCATAACTGGAACCATAGGATTCCTAAGGGATCCCCAGGGTCTAAGGAATCCTATAGGATTCCTAAGGGATCCTTTTGGATTCCTAAGGGATCCCATAGGTCTTCCGAAAGGGATCCTATAGGTTTCCTCGGAATCCCTAAGAATCATTAGGATTCCTATAGGATTCCTAAGGAATCCCATAGGATTCCTAAGGAATCCCATAGGATTCCTAAGGGATCCTATAGGATTCCTATAGGATTCCTAAGGAATCCCATAGGATTCCTAAGGAATCCCATAGGATTCCTATAGGATTCCTAAGGAATCCTATAGTATTCCTAAGGGATCCTATAGGATTTCCTATAGGATCCTATAGGATTTCTCGAGGATCCTATAGGATTCCTCAAGAGCTCGCTGCACCGGTGCGCACACGCGTCGTGCTGTCAGAATCCGCTTGGAGGACGTAGCGTTGAGAGCTTGGTCTGTGGAGGTAAGCTTTCGGGGTTGCTGGGGGTTGCTGGGGTTGCTGGGGTTGCTGGGGTTGCTGGGGTCCCGCGGTTGCCCCCGGGCCGGTCAAGTCGGCCTTGTCCCTAGGGGAGGAGGCGCTGTGGAGCTCCCCACTGGACGGGCCGGTCAACTGCGCCTCGTTCTTGTTGTTGTTGTCGTTGTTGTTGTTGTTGCTGATGTAGATATAGATGTAGTTGTAGTTGTTGCTGTAGCTGTAGCTGTAGCTGTAGCTGTTGTTGTTGTTGTTGTTGTTGTTGTTGTTATTGAACTTTCGTTACTGAAGGGTAAGTATTGATGATCCCCCCTCTGGTGACCATTGTTTTTTTCAATTGAAGTGCTTCCACTAGGGCTCGCACCCTGTTTTTTACCATGGAAAGTTTCTAGGATTAAACTGGGCCCCTGGCCCCAGGTTTACAACAACAGCGGTTACAGCTTGATGCTTTGTCACAATTTATTACAAATCGCGCTCTCGCGCGGGACTTCCTCACAATTCATGTACGCATCGCGCTCTCGCGTGGGTTTTCCTAGCAATTTATTCAGACGATGCGCCCTCGGCGCTCAGGAATCACGCGCTCGCTTTGGCTTTTATCGCGATTTACTTGGGAATAGTGCTATCGCTTGAGACTTCCTCGCGATTCATGCAGTACCCACGCTTCAGCAACCCGCCTGCTGGGTCTGCCCACCCGATCTGCCCGTCTGGTTCTACCACACTATTTTTCTCTCTCTCCCCCTTCCACCCGTCCTCTCTT